CCGCGGGGCTGTTCCTCACGGCCTGAGGGCAGCGGGCGCCTTTCTTGCGCTCCGGTTCCTGCTGTGGAAAGCAAGGCCTTCGCCCCGAGCTGGGCAGAGGTGTGCCCCCGGGGCCCGGGCTGAAGTTACCTGATATTTAACTCCGCAACAGCCGAAGCTTTATTAATCACCTCCGCAGCTCAGCTGCACCAGTGCCTGTGGGCCAGGCTCCTGCAGCAAAATCCGACAGCGCGTTGGTAAAACGAGGAGGGTGCTTAGAGGGGCGCAGCCCATCTTTTGGAGTGTTTGGGTTAAACTTTAGAGGGGTTTTTTAACGTGTAAAAACAACGTTTCCCTAATTGAATAAATATTCTTATTTTAACAGTCGTTACTGGCTCTGTGAGAGTGAGCAAAGTGGATCAGTATGTTGATGCCACTGCTGACTTCCCGTTTACTGAAGGTTTCACGAATTGCAGGTAAACAGATGTTGTGTGACCTAGTTTTCTGTTTGTTTTTTTGGTTTGGTGTTTTTTTTTTTTTTTTTTTTTCTGGGGTGATTAAGCTCCAAGAAATTTCTTTTCCAGCAAGCAGTGCAAGAGTGGTGAGGCTGTTGTTGATTCGGTGCCTGTGGAATGTTGTGTCTCTGATCTATTCTGTCAGTATTGTGTAGCTCTGTCTTGACCTCTTTGAAGCTTAGGAGGAGATTCCTTAGCAGCAGAAAGGCTTAATACAGTGAACAGGTCCTAGCCATTCCAAACTTTACTTACACAGGTTATGCAGTATAACACTGTATAATGTAATTTTTCCAGATAGTAAAAATGTAATTAAATTCAAATTAAAAAAAAAAACAAAACAACTTCCTTTTTTATGATGAGAACATAATTTTTCTAAGCAGCTTCCTTTATTAGATTGTTCTGGTCGCAGTTGTCTGGTGGTTTGAGAGCTGGGCAAAGCTTTTCTTTAAATACTGTTTGAAAATTCTGCCTCTTAAGTGGAATTCTTTTCTTCTCAAAGGCCACCTTTTGCCAAGGTCAGTGTCTTCCTTTCTTTGCTATCACTCTACATCTGCGCACTATAGCACCCAGCCATCTAACAAGAGTGGAGCCCAACCTCAGCGATGGTATGCTCTGGACCCTGAACTGGAAGAGATGCTCATCCCCAGAAAACTTTCCATCAGCCCCTTAGAAAGCTGGCTGACAGTTAGATACTCCCTTCCTAAAGCAGAAGTCCTTAATGCTGAGGAAGAAGTGGGCTATGAACCTCTCCAGCGATACGACTGTCCCCCGTCTGATGAGGGAGCTGATGTGGAGGAAGGAGAGGGAACACTTACCAACAAACTTGAATGTAAGAACGTTTTGAAGATTCGCAGAAGGAAAATGAATCGGCACAAGTTCAAAAAGCTGCTGAAGCGAAGAAAGTTTGTACGGAGGAGGATAAAGGAAGGTCGCAAGAAGAAACGTCAGGTAAATTTGGGGTAGAGAGAACATCTTGACATAAATGTGCCCACTTCTCAAACTGGCCTCTGTTCAGGTATCGGATGATGTTTTTAAGTGGAATCGATTTGGGGAAAAACGGCAGCAGCTCGGAGAGCCTTAATGAATTCAGTATTTACTGATACAGTAGTTTTTTCTGTTTTGTGTTCAACCTGTACATCTTCAGGAGTTGAAATTTAGAATATTTCTGTGGTTGTAAACATATATGTGTGGTAGTTACTAGGTGTAATTTTTCTTGCATGACCATAACTTATGTGGAGAATATAATATATATAATGAGTATAATATATATAATGGCTAATGGAGAAGAATTTTGGCATTTGTGTAAAAGATTAATTCACGTGTCTGTGTTATATCAGGGAGACTGGTTCAATTTCTTTCATGTCTTGCAAACATCCTCAAGTGCTACCTATTGTCTTTTTCTGTATAGAAGCCTTTTAGTTCCCTTATTAGAAGGGGTGAGGAAAGACATGGGCCTTCGTCCAATCTGTAGATGTTCTTACTCAACGCAGCCTCTCAGTAGTCTGTTAGGTTTGCTATGATACAGTTTAGTTCATTCTCTGGTAATTTTCACCTTGCCTAGATGAAAGTTAGGGTTAATTGTAATTCTGTTTCTTCAGATTTGTAGGAAGCAGTGTTGAACACTTTATGATGAGAAAAATCCTCTTAATCTTTTTACAGTTTTCCATCTTCTCAGTTTTCCTTGCACTGGATTTTTAAAACAATGCTACCGAGATCCTTGTGCCTGTTAATCTATTTTGTGTAGTAAGGCTAACTATTTTGACACTTACAAAAAGCTGCCGACTTAAAAGCATTTATTTCCTTTGTGTGTGTTATACGTAGATTCTCCTTGGGACACGTGGCAGTGGCTGAATACTTGAGTGTTGCTTGTGAGCTACGTTAGTGTTTTTTATTTCTTTTTTTTTTTTTTTTTTTCTGTTCTAGATAAAATTTGAGAAAGATTTGGAGCGCATCTGGAAAAGAGCTGGTTTGAAAAATCCTCCTGCAGGATGGCAAACACCCAAGATATTTCTGAAAAGTTCCAAGCGATAAAAACACTTGTAATGGGTTTTAACCTGTAATTGTAATTAAAAAAAATATTTAAAGTACATGAATTACTTTTAACCTTTTTCTGAGTGTGATGAAATCAATAGGAGGAAGCTTTCAGTCTTGGTGAGCAGTTTTCCAAGGGCAAACCTGACAGCAATATGCTTTTCCTCCTCAAAAGAATGTTATGAGCCCTTGTATAGTGACTTGGCAGTGCTGTGTGCGGTCCTGTGCTGCTGCTGCTCCCGACCATGTGTCAGAACAGAGGTGTCTTAGACAGCAGCTGAATTTCTGAGGTTGCTATTTATGATGAGACTGAACAATGTACTGTAAGAACAATCAGTGGGAGATGGGATAAGTGAAACAATTCTTCTGACTGTATATAAGACAAAAGCATTGTGAAAAGTTCTTTTCAAAACCACATTCTTTCATAGTCTTACTATAGAAGGGCTGGTGTTTATGAAGAGTTGTGGTGAAATAGGAATTGAGTCAGAATTCCATAAACATACCTGCAAAAGCTTTTAATTTTCACTTACCTGAAGCCTCAGTGTGCATGTGCCTTAGGCATTGCATGAGCGTCCTTAAAAGGCATATTTATTTTTTCTGTTCTGTTTTGTGCTAATAAAAAATTGGTTTTTTTTTTCTATGATTGACCCTTGTCACACAGAATGTCCAGATAATGGTATCAGTAAAGTTCAGAGCTAATTATTCATTAACTATAAAAACTGTTTTGTGCCCAAGACAACCCTGTTGCAATCAGCTGGTTTTACATGATTGAAGAGAGTCATGAAAGCTGTGAAAAAAGTAGATTGTTTATTTTAAACCCTGATAGAGGACTTTATATCTGCATTCTGTTTTGGGTTCTGCTTTTGATTTTTCTCTTTGAGGCAGTTAACTTCTGTTCTGTGTGATTTAGCTCTTCCCTCCTCTATTCCAGCAGATAGATGGGGTGGACTGACCTCTTGAGAGAAGGGAGGGAAGAAAAATGAGTTCCCTTAGGCCCATCATTCTGCAGCATACAGGGAAGCTACCCTGAAAAAGCATTCCCTTTTATGTCCTAGGAGCAGAACAGTTGACTAAACTGAAAGGGAAGAAAAAAAATAATCCGTTTCCACTTATTTCCACAAGGTACAGTTGAGTCTCGCTGCAGGAAGGGCAGGTGACTCGCGCACAGCGAACGTGTCTGAGGTTCTGTGTAGGGCGCTTTGCTGTTTTTGTCGTTAGATGGCAGTAAATTCAAAGCCTCTGAAACTCCTTGGCCATTGATGTAGAAGCCAGCTGATTCGTTATGTTGGCATTTTAAGGAAAGGGTACACCCACAGCCTATTGTCAGGATTTCCACGAAGAGGAGGATGTCTAGCCATGAGCCTTAGAAACTCACCGAGCAAGAGAAGAGATTGAGTGTTGATTTTGGCTTACAGGTTTGTTAAATACGCAGAGGGCATCTAGGTGTTTCTAAAATACCAATACACATTCCCTGCACAAAGATGCAAAGATGAAAGGCTGGGGCCTGAGAGGATTAGCACCTTTGAAGTCAGGTCCATGTCTTTTTTCCCCAGTCACGTTTGTTTTAAGAGCCCCTATGCCAGCATTGTTGTTCTCTGTCAGTCCTATGATTCTCTTACTGGCTCTTACTCCAAGCTTGCTGTTTTTCTACCTAGGGAAAAATGGTAATCAGTTTGCACATTTCCAGGAGATTGTTGAAGAGTTGGGATGTCTTTGGAATTACATGGAGCAAAGGACAACAGCAGTAGTATGCCCTGCTCATTTATCAGTGCTGTACCTCTCATTCCAGTTTTGGCATTTATTCTTCCTTGATTTTCTTTTTGTCTTACTTAATCCTATAACTTTCATCTTTGTAGACTTAAATCTCAAGCTGTCCAAGGGTATGTTATCCATTTTTCCTGCACTAGGGTCTTAGGTTAATCTTATCTATCTCTACTTTGACATAAAACCCCCTCTTGCTCTTGGGAAACGTAGTGATGGGGCTGTGGGTCACAAACATGTCCATTGTACTCATCTCTGCGGGGATCATGCAGGCAGAGAACTTTGTATGCCATTTTCCAGCGTCGGCACCATCGCCTTGCTCTCTAACTTCTTTTACATTGGGATAGTAACTAGAAAAGAGAATTATTGAAATATTGGGAATTGCAAAGCATACTCATTCAGTACTTTGTGATGTTCCAGTGCCAGTGAACTGTTGTACCATCGCAATGATTGTGTTAATTAGGGTACTTGTGTGGTGAATTGCAAGTCTCCATGAAGTAAAGTAGCTTATTAAATGGTATGCTCTCTAAGTACTAGTCCAGTCCTTCAAATTGTAGTCTGCCAAGAGTAGTCATTACTTTTACATCTATTAGACATAATTACACAACCATGTATAGAAGTCTGGAACTACTGTGTAATTTACAAAAGTGTCTGTAAACCATCCGTGACAGCTACTGCCAATCTCAGTCATATAAATGCTGTATTCCTTTTTGCTGAAGTACCTCAAAACATGTCTCAGGATTTGTATTTTCTTTGTGGAAGATACTGCAAAGACTCTGTCGGGTTTATCAACTTGCTTTAACTCTCTTGACCACAGGATGCAATTTTAAACTCTCTCTTGCTTTGCTAAACAGGGAGAATCAGGCAAAAGCTGCGCCTGTTTTTCTGTAGGGGGAGCACGAGTACATAACATGCTATTCACAAAGCTTTATTATGAGTTGCTGTTCCTCTCCAAAACATGTACGTACCAATGTACATGCATGCTAAGTAAATGTGTATGTGCATATGTAGCTGTGGTAGCAAAAAAAAAAAAAAAAAAGGCTGCAGACAGGAAAGGTTCAACTTTTATAATTCTCAAAATATTTAAGACTTTTCTCCTTCATCTCCTTACTGTTCTGAGAGGAAATGGTTGAAAGTCAGCAGGAGGTTGCTGTATTACAGAGACCGGAGGTATCCAGGGGGATGGGGATTTTATGTTTGAAACTGCCAGACAGTCATTGGTCTGGAAAGGTGCCTCAAAATCGGACTATAGACCCAATTACAGTCATGCTTACACCCATAATTCTTGGATTGCATGCACTTAAATACACACAGCAAGCTCAGTTAGTTGAACAGAACATCAAGTTTGGTAGCTTTATCACAGCAATCGGGTTTGTGCTGAAATGAGTTGGCTCTAAAATAGGAAGTCGTATGACTCAGAAGGGATGAAAATTCTGAATTTTGTTTCTTTCAGCCAAAGCATCACATTAAAAATCAGAGTGTTCTCCCTTTTGGAAAGGTCAAAACCCAGCAACGTGGTGGTAGTGGGCTTCTGACACGCAGGTAGCAGAAATACCATTTCTTTCTAATCCTAGCAAATAATGGTTGCTGGTAAACTTTCATTTTTTTAGTTAGATTTTAGTTGTCTCCTTGACCTGGATGGCAATGTTTCTTACCAGGGTAGGTACTAAGTGCATTTTTAGGAGTCTTCTCTAGAAAATGTGTTGTTCAGTTGCATCAGTATGGATTCTCAAAGTATTTTACAGGACTCTGGACATAAGATAACAGTTCTTTCACCCACCCAAATGAATGCAACAGAACTTACAAGTGGTGAGACTTGCATCCAACCGTACTCAGTCTTCTGTACACACTGGAATTACACTCGGGTAGCTGAGAGTCAGGCCTGATTGTATATGGGAAAGAGTGCAATGCAAAAGAAACTGCTTGCTGCAGCTTTTTCTCAGCTATTGTATTGTGTAACACAATCAGAGATAGGTTTGCTTGGCATGGGGATGGAAAATCCTGGATCAACTGCCAGTCCTTTGCGTATCTGGACAATTGCTGAGTGGTCCACAGTGGTAGCGATCAGGTATTAGCAGTGACAAGAGATTTTTAGAAATAATGCTGAAGCAGGAGATCTGTGATAACTGATGGGGAGTAGAAAATGTATTTCAATTACCTTTTTATAAAATAGCAACCTCACTGAGATGTCAGCCCTATTTCAGTGCGAATGAGGAAGCCGAGAAGGTTGGTCCCTCTGGTGACAAGGATTGAACCCCAAATGAGTGGAAAGTAGAAACATTTAAAATGTGTGTAAATTGCAGCAGTTTGGCAATTTGGCTCTTCATGTACAAACAACAGTTAACCCTAACACCTCTGATAGTCTGGAGAGAGAGTTGGAAGAGATTTTAGCTCTCTATGGCAGCCACTTGCTCCAGTTCTCCACAGAAGAATAATTCTTGGTAATTGTCTGCTGTAGTTTTGGCTCGCTTCAAATTAATTCTATTCAACTTTGAGTTTCTTACAGGAAAAGAGAAAGTCCAGCAGTCAATACAAGATATTCCTTTCCTTTGGAAATCTTGCGCTTAGCCTACAAAGCATGTTGGACAGTCTGCTAGCTGTTAGAGCAGCCCTGGGGGCATGCAGGCAATGAGTCTGAGCTCATGGATGCCCTCTTCATGCTGTCCTTGGCACAGGCAGCAGGACAGTTTGCCGGCTGTCCAGGAAGGAGTCCTGTGGAGAGGAAACGGAGCGGAATGTAATGATGGCTTCTCCTGCTCATGAGACCAGACCTGAAGCTGATTCAAACCAGGAGCTGCATAGGTAATGGGACCAAAGACTTCACGTTGAAGGAAAACACTGATCTGAATTGAGGCTGTTTGTAGACATGCAAAGGGTTTGACTAGCCTTAAATCCTAAAGTGTGGGAAGCCTGGACAAAAGTTTACATTGGTATTACCCAGACAGTTAGATTTTGCTAGGCTGATGGACTGTCATCTTGAAAGGGTCCACGCCAAAAGAATTCGTTCACAGTGTTTTCAGCTGTGATTTGACGGGAGCAGTGACACGTGTGTGTTGAAGTGCTGAGGACAGGCTGTGGGATGCTCAGTACATCTGGCTGCACACGACTGTAGCAGCAAATGTAAAGAGAAATACTCTTCGTGTTGCCGTTGTATTGGCTCCTGATAGGCGGTATGCCTAAGAACCTGTTTTTTTGGAGTGTGGGGTTTTTTTGTGGTGGTGTTTTTTCAAGGTGGGGGGGGGGAAGTTGTGAGTTTCTTTGTTGTTTGGATTTTTGGTTGTGTGGTGGGGTTTTGTTTGGTTTGGGGGTTTTTTTGTTTGTTTTTTTACAGAGGGAGAGGGCAGGCGTGATGCCTCCTCCTTGGCTGCAGGAGGATTTCTCTGCACACCAAAACTCTGGCACTGGAAGCACAAGTTCTTTTTATGACTGTATGTGGGAACTGTTGTTCTTTCCGCCATCAGTAAACTCAAGACCTGTCTTAAAAGGAGTACATGTTAGCCCATGTCAGGGAATGTTTATGAGCATCTGGTGTACAAAACACACCTTTTCAGGAGGTTAATAGGTCCTTGCTCCTCCTTCTACCTGACTACCATTGGCCAATAATTCCTGAGCAGAAGCAATGTGTACCTCTACTCTGGTGAGCTAATACCTATATTAAATGGGATGCTTTCATATTAAAGACTGTCAAAATATTACCTAGGATAAGTTGGTGTATGTACATTGGCTTCAGTAGCTCTGACTTGGTCCTTCTCAAAATATGAAGCCAGCTCTACTTCAGTAGATGTGAACCCCTAGTCCGTGTATTCCAAAATTAATGAACCATGCTTGTTTACACTCGCCGAAAATCTGGCTAAAGTGATGTTACTAATCTTGCAAACAGCACCTGTGGATAACTAAAATTACATCTTTTCACCATTCATGCTACTGGCATCTGTTCTGACTGTGAAAACATCATGGTTTGGGTTCGCTTGGGCTGAGCCTGGTCAGTAGCTCTCCAAAAATAACAGCACTCTGTACTTAAACTGGAGCATTGCATTTGCAGGACTGAAATGGTTTTGAAAAGTGGGATTTGCTTTTCCTACTGATTTTTAAATTAAAAAAATCAGTAACTGTAGCTCATGCAGACATCTGAGCTAGCCTTAAGCAAACAGAGTGTGCTGGCTTTCCCGTGGAAGTATCCATGCTTGTTTGCCTTTCCCTCTAAGACAGAGGAACAAAACTGAAACAAGGAGTTCTGTGAGTCAGAAAAGTTAGGAGGACCTCAAGGAGACTGAATTTTTTAGTCGTGCTGACTGCATGGGTGCTAATGCATCTTTCCTCTGTTAATGCTAGTTACAAAACTTGTAAGAACTATTAAACTCATTATGAGACTTGTCCCCTACTCTCAAATGTAGCTGAAAATTGCCTATTGTGTTTTAAAATAACGGGAAGGAGGAGGTTGAATGGACAGTGGGATCATATAACTGCACGTGCCTTGTTTCTTTAGGAAATGTGGCTAAAATTTTGTTTAAAGTAGAAAGAGAACATGAAATCTTGGTCAAAAATGAGTTTTTTCACTTGTTCAATAAACAAGACTTGGTGCTGATCTGATCATGCAGGTCTTGTGCTGAGGGAGTGTCATTGCCTTTGGTATGTCTAGGTCTGGAGAAAACACTCCCGGAGCCCCTCAGCAGCCACAAGCAGTACAGAGCCCCATAACCACTTGCGAAGTGATTGGTGTTAAGGATGTGAAGTCCTGAGCAAGGAGTCAACACATCAGGTAAAAATCTAATAGCTTGGTATTTGTTAGGTTTATTTTAAAGGGAATTAACAATTCATGGCAGGATGATTCTGGCTGAGCTTTATTACCAGCCAGTGAGGAACTGGTTAAACTTGAAGAATATGCAGTCATAGAAGAATGTGCCAAGGGGAAAAAAAAAAACGGTAGAAGGAACTACAGCAGTTACAGTCAGCAATGTGACTATGTGTAAACAGCACCACGTTACTCACCAGCTCCGTTCCCTGGGTGCTTTTGAGTCAGAGCTGTTTCCTCTACTGACAAAGGG